TGTCCTCCCAAACCTATAATTAATTTAAACCTATTGTATTATACGAAAATATTAGTAAGTTCTAAGATACATCATATTATTTTAAATTAACGCCAAATGTAACACTAAGCTTACAATAAATATTTAGAATTTGAATTTATTTAAGAATATTTTGACTGTGATATATAAATTATTAATAGCTTATGTACCTACATCTTAAAACTAGACTAATATTGTTAGGTGAAGACTGCTATATATACTAAATATCCCTTTTTAGTTCAATCCTACATAATAAGTTTGGTAATTATAGTTAGCCCTACCCACCAAAGAGATAGACAGAAAAACAAATTTATAAAAAAGTAATTTGCAACAAATCATTTACTCTGTTTCATACTGGTAACTCGAGTTGCTTAACAGTGGTAGAGCTAAGCGGTAGCTTTTGCTGTCGCACGGATGGGCCAGCTCGAACCGGGGTGGTACCACGACCTCACAGAATACCAGCGTGAAGTAGAGGTTTACCTCTGCGTTGCGCTTGGTGAGTGCAGGTGGCTGGAGGCCTAATACTCCCCCCTCCCCCCCCCCCCATCAACATGGTAGTGGAATTAAATAAAAGACTACCCCAGGAGGGTACCAGCACCCCTGGAGAATTCCTCGCTGAGCATCCACGACTACTTCACTCCTGAGCGTGGGTGCTCAGGCTGCCCCGCGTATTCTGGGGGGGGGGGGAGCAAAATTCCGCTCGCGACTAATGCTGCTCGGGGCAAGCGGGACAATACAACCAAGGCGATCCATTACCATCTAGAGATGGCGAAGCCGGCCTTGCTCTTTTTAACCGAGACTCAGGTGTCCTCTCCGGCTGATACTTCATATCTCTCCTACCTGGGGTACAAATTGGAACACTCCTTTGTGCCCCGGGCTGGAGTTTGCTTATACGTCAGAGAGGACATTTGTTTTCGACGCCTCGGCAGTCTTGAAGGTACGGACCTGTCCATCCTATGGCTGCGCGTAGACAGCGACGACCATCCTCGCGTCTACGGGTGCCTCTATAGGTCCCATAGCAGCAATGCCGACACAGACCGACTCATCGACTCCGTGCTACAAGAGGTCCCATCCGCGGAGATCGTGATACTCGGTGATTTTAACGCCCACCACGCTGAATGGCTTGGTTCTCGTTTAACCAATCATGCGGGTAGATCTATCTATGACTTTGCTTTGGCATATGGTCTAACAGAACTGGTTACTTCGCCTACGCGGATCCCAGATGTGGAAGACCTTGTACCTTCCCTGTTGGACCTTCTGCTGACCTCTTATCCGGACGGATATCAGGTCTCCGTCGATGCCCCTCTGGCCTCTTCGGACCATTGTCTGATCCGAAGTACGGTGCCACTCACGCTCCAATCGCAGTTGCGATCTGCAGCTTGCCGCCGTGTTTGGCACTATAGGTCAGCTGATTGGGACGGGATGTGGTCTTTTTTTGCATCCTACCCTTGGGGGCGGGTTTGCATCTCGCCGGAAGATCCCAGCGTTGTTGCCCATTCTGTTGCTGATGTGGTACTTCAGGGTATGGAACTTTTTATTCCATCCTCTGTGGTACCCATCGGAGGCAGATCCCAGCCATGGTGTGGTCGCTCCTGTAAACTAGCATCACGCTATAAGCAGGAGTGCTACCGGGCCTGGGCTGACGTATCAACGTCTCGGGATGTAAACACCAGCGCACTTAAAAAGAAGTATAATTCCGCCTCCAGGTCCTTCAAAAGCGTCATTGCCAAGGCAAGGTCTAAGCACATCGGCAGAATTGGCGAGAAGCTAGTTCGTCTTCCTTCGGGAACCCGTGCATTCTGGTCTCTCGCCAAGGCTGTCCAAGGGAACTTCTGTCAGCCATCTCTTCCATCTCTGCACAGAGAGGACGACTCACTGGCCCATGCCGCAAAGGATAAAGCCGATCTGTTGAGCTCTCTTTTTGCGCCCAACTCGACTCTAGATGACGGGGGGAACACACCGCCGACCATCCCGCGGTGTGAGTGCTCCATGCCAGATGTGCGGTTTACACAGGGCTCGGTTTGCAAAGCACTCTTCTCCCTGGACCTCAGCAAGTCGAGTGGGCCCGATGGAGTCCCTCCCATTGTGCCGAGTGCCTCCGATTGTGTGAAGACGTGTGCTCCGGAGCTGGCACCGGTTTCAACGCGTCTTTATCGGTACTCCTACTCCCAAGGCGTAGTCCCGAGTTCATGGAAGACAGCTTTGGTCCACCCGATCCCTAAAAAAGGCGACCGCTCAGACCCGTCCAACTACAGGCCCATTGCCATCACCTCCTTGTTCTCCAAAATAATGGAATCCATTATAAACTGCCAGCTCATGAGGTACCTTGAGGATCACCAGCTGATTAGTGACCGCCAGTACGGTTTTCGTCGAGGTCGATCAGCTGGTGATCTTCTAGTCTATCTGACTCATAGATGGGCGGAGGCAATATAGTCCAAGGGGGAGGCATTGGCCGTTAGTTTGGACATAGCGAAGGCCTTCGATCGGGTCTGGCACAAAGCGCTTCTTTCGAAGCTTCCTTCCTATGGGCTTCCCGAGAAATTGTGCAAATGGTTCACCAGTTTCCTTGCTGATCGGAGCATCAAGGTCGTAGTAGACGGTGCATGCTCTGATTTCAAGCCTATCAACGCTGGTGTTCCACAACGCTGCGTGCTATCACCAACGCTGTTTCTCCTGCATATCAATGATATGTTGCAAACCGGTAGCATTCATTGCTATGCAGACGACAGCACTGGTGATGCCTTATATTCCGGCCGTGCCAATATTTCTCGGGAAAACGTCGCTGAGTACCGGGACAAACTTGTGTCTGAAGTCGAATCTTTTCTTAACAAAGTCTCGGATTGGGGCCGACTAAATCTAGTCCAGTTCAATCCTCAGAAGACACAAGATCGCGCGTTTACCGCTAAAAAGAACCCCTTTGTCGTATCTCCTCAGTTTCAAGGCACTCCCCTTGCTGCCTCAGCTAGTATCGGAATCCTTGGCGTCGACATATCGAATAGTGTGCAGTTTCGTGGTTACTTGGAAGGGAAGGCCAAATTGGCCTCTAAAAAGCTTGGCGTGCTCAGCAGAGCGAGACAGTATTTCATGCCGGCACATCGCTTGCAACTTTACAAAGCGCAAGTTCGGCCCCACATTGAATACTGTTCTCATCTCTGGGCTGGGGCTCCCCAGTGCCAGCTCCTTCCACTTGACCGCATCCAGCGCAGAGCGGTTCGAATCGTCGACGACCGAGTTTTTTCTATCGGCTCGATACACTGGCACTGCGTAGAGATGTTGCATCTATTTGCGTATTTTATCGCATCTATCACGGGGAGTGCTCTGAGGAATTGTTCGGACTAATTCCAGCCGTTCAATTTCACCATCGCACATCGCGACAAAACTCGCGTTACCATCCATACCATCTGGATGATTGGCGGTCCACCACAGTGCGATTTAGAAGAAGTTTACTCCCTCGCACAACTTCCTTGTGGAATTAATTACCACCAGCGAATTTTCCGGACCGATACGACTTAAGAACCTTCAAGAAAAGACCTTACACCTTTCTAAAAGGCCGGTAACGCATCTGCAATTCCCCTGGTGTTGCGGTTGTTCATGGGCGGCGGTAGTCACTTACCATCAGGTGAGCCGCATGCTCGTTTGCCCCCACTTCGTTGCGTGAATTTCAACTCGAGTTAACTCGAGTCGTGATTTTTCCGAGTTGGCACATTTTTAACTTGAGTACTGACCACAGAACATAAATAACTGTGTAAATCCACAGAACATATATATGCCTAATAATACTGACGCACCGAAAAGCCAAAAGTCGTACGTAGCCTTATTTATTAATTAGATATATTTGCATAAAACATGGACAGATAAGGATGGTACAATTCTTAAAGTACGACATGTTTTGCTATGTGATTGTGAATAGCATGCAAATTTACATAAATAGCACATATATAAATGAAATTTTCTAATCATAAGACAAAACAATTAGACTAAAACATATAAAATCGTACAAAGATTATCAATTCATGAATATATATCATTTACATTTAACGAATAGGTCTCTGATGTCATAAAATTGATTTTCATTGAGATAAGCAATAATTTTTTTTTAAATAAATTATTATTATTCGATTTGATTTCATTTGGCATTTTATTATAAATTCGAATACACATGGTTAAACAGCTTTTACTATATTTGTTTGATCGCGGTACATCATCTAATACATGTCTATTTGCATTTCTTTTTAGTCTTATATTCATATCATATGCCTTTGTAAACAGATTGTTATGTTTATATATATATATATATATATTAAAAGGCTAACTTGAGATGACTTCACTTTGCGTGCGCCTGCTGCGTTTCTTAGTTTGATAATTCTGTGATAATAATCAGTTAAATATATGAAATTATCTTTGAAATGTAATATAAACACTTTTTTATATTTGTCATCACTGTTGTGATAATATTTTAAATAATTTTTACAATTTGTCGCGAACTTTTCTCCGTAAGACGAGATGTTGCGCACTGACGGATCCCCGAGTGAACTTACGCGGTTTCGCGTTAGTTTTACATGCTTTACTTTCGGTGCGTGTACTAGGATTCTGTACATAATAATTCTATGGTAACTATACTTAAAACTGTATCTAATTTTAGTCTGCTGATACGGATGCGGTAGCTTGCAATTTACATCTGGTAACACAGGTATATAGTAATCTGTGACTAGAAACAGAAATTGAATAACTAAATGATCTTGCTACATTTTAATTTTTTATTTATCTATGATCTCTGACTATTATACAGTTATCTGTGATATGAAGTATGAACTGAACTGAAACTGAAATGACAAATGATAAGTTGCGAATCAAGAATGTATTCGCATTGTTTTCAAAAAGTTAGATAAATTTAATGCACAGAGTACTACATTTAATTCAGTGAATTTATGTGTTTTATAATGTGCATCTTTTTATTTTAAGAATACATAAACTCTTATACGATGTCTTTATACGATGATTTAGATACTATCAAAACACGAACAACAGAAAAGGTAGCGGGATGGTCCTCAGGTATCAAGTTATTACAATCACAGCTACAGTTAAAAAAGGCGGCCGTAACTCAACCTAAAAGAGAAGCTTTACGGCGTACTACACAAGTGAGTATATAATAAATTCTATTCAAGATTACATATAAGATTAATATTCGCTGTATTTAAATTTATGTAAATTAACTAGGTACTAACTCCAGTAATAGACTTAAAAAGTAAACAAAAAGATGAAGATGAATTGAATTCAAACAGCCCAAGTTTACAACTTAAGACATTCACACCTTCATTAAATGTTTCTGATTTTGATTGGAATGTCGCAAATGAATATGATCCTATGTGGCCAAATGATTATGAAAAGGTTGCCAAAGGTAAGACTTGTATTTCACATAAAATATAGGTAGGTACCTAGTCTGAGAATTTTATAATATACTATTACAAGATATGCAAGCGTTGTGTATGGCCAGATTTAGTAGAGGTTATTATTGACCAAAGTTCTAGGCCTTTTCAAGAAAGACGTCTTCTCTTAAATATAAGTGCTTTGGAAAAATTGGTTTCCATTAATGTTGCAAAGTTAGATTATTTAATATACATCTATCTGGCACTGCTATAACCAACATAAAAATTGGCTAAAATAGTATGTAAAATTAAAAAGAAAATCCCTATTAAGTATTCATAATTTTTCCGTGGTAGAGCCATGCTGCAGCTATATTAATAGTATTGTTGTAGTACGAATGGGTGGGCTAGACCAGGGAGGGACCATGCTCTCACAGAATACCAGCGTAAAATCGCAGCTTAATTGCTGTGTTTTGTATGGTGTGTGTAGAGAACCAGATACCCTTTTTAATGCAAAAGAGGCATTCTATCTTAGTCCTCATGGCTGACATCACATCTTCATTTTAATTTACAAACAAATATAGATTTAGATGTCTATGGGCCACAGCAACCACTTACCATCATGTGGACTGTGTGCTTGTTTGTCACACTTATTCTATAAAAAGAAAATTCAAAGAGATTAACTCCTAGTAATTGATTTTGCCATAATAATTATTAATTATCTAAATAGTTTACAAACTTCTTTTCACTTCATGATAAAATTTAATTTTGATTTTTGGAAATGAAATTAATTAATTGCAATATGTAAGTATTTACCTTATGGTCGGTGGTGAAGGAAAACATCATTAAGGAACCTGCATGTCTGAGCAGGAATAAAATATTTCTTGATGTGTCCAACAACATGTAACTAGATCAGATTGGTAGACTTATTGCTCCATATCCCTTTCAAAAATATTAGGTGTGCTTGTGCCCAGCATTAGGATGTGTATAAACTGTAACCTTATTCTTTTAACATTTCACAATATCAATTTTTGTTAGTTCAATTATTTAGAACTTACAATTCTTCATTGGCCCAATGCCTCAATACATTGAACATCATCAGCCAATCGTGCAGTTTTAGCTTAAATGTGTGTGAATTGATGTCACAAGAGACTAAGACTAAGAAATGTCAGATAAATATTATATTTAGCTAGATGTAAATAAAAAAAATTAAATGTCTAGATGGCCAAAGGCAGCAGCATGTACTGTGTTCAACACTCCACCTGCCAAGCTTTTCAAATATAGCAAATCCTCCCTACAATGAGAAATGTCCATGTCCTGCAGTCAATTATAAGGGGCTGATGAAGTAGAAGATCTACAGCATATTGATTAAATAAATAATTTTTAGTTTGTAAAGCAAGGTGGTACCAGTTATTTAAATTATTTTTTCTTTTTAATTGATAATAATAAATAATTCTTTAGAGCTTCTAGCAAAACGACTACAGCTAGATGGAGGGGACAGAAATGAAAGATCAGAAAGGAAACGTAAATCAAGATTCGGTGATGATGAGCCCATAATTCCTGAAAAGACTCTTATTCCAATGGTAATGTTATTTTTGTACAAATATTTAAACATAATATGCTCTTGTTTTTATTTTTGTATCATGCTCTGGATTTTGCCTCTTCCATTATAGAGAACATTTACAATAATTGCCATAAATTGATGTCTTTGATGTTCTCTTTCTTACATTAGCATATGGTTTTAAAAGGCCTTTTAAAACTCTCATGGGAAGAAATGTCAGAACAATCATTTTTAAATATAAATATTACCTGCATAATAATCATGGCAACATGGGTGTCGTAAGAGGTGACCTTAGGAAATTCCAGAAAATCCTATGGTTTTTGATAGATGGTGGCGTTAACACCTTATTTATGCCAGATATAAAATATCCAGACCTGCAACGTGCAGCAGTGTAAAAAATGTGAGACGTTTGATACTGCAATTGTTAACCCTTTTGCCGAGCATGGCAATTAAGGCAATTCCTCTCTACAGCAGTAGAACTCCATATCCAGTAGTAGACTTTCAGGCTGATAAGGAATAAGATTCATCATGATGAGATCAACAGAAAAGTATGTAAGTATATGTTTTATATCTAAATAGAAAATGATCAGAATTTTATTATTACATTTATTATAGCCTAAAACTGCAAAATTTGCATTCATCGTCATCAAAGTCATCATGAACAAAGGTGCCCCCAAAGAGCTTATCTTTTGAGAAATTTTGAGAAATGAGGTTCTTCAAACTAGATGGCCGACCCAATGCAATTTCAGCTTACTGATCCAATAGACTGTGTAGGTTACTCTGGTTTTACTACAGATATCTTTACTGGGATTCTATCACACAAAAACTCATAGTATGAAACGATCATAATTTATTGTTTCCAGCAACCAGAGGAAGAAGAAGCTGAAGAAATATCGAAAAGAGCAGCCGGTGCTGCCATAGCCCCGCCACCATCATTGACTGCCGAGACTGCATCTCCACCACCACCGCCGCCATCTGCCCCAGTAACTGCACCCTCAGCTGGTTTCTCAATTGGTGGCTATGGTGCCAGCTCTGTTGCAGCTAAAATTATGGCTAAATATGGTTTTAAGGTGTGTGAATTTTTTCAATTTTATGTCTTCATTCCTGGCAATTAAATTGACAACTAAATATAATAAGGTTGCTATGTTTGTTAGCATTAAGAGCCCAGTCTTTGTGAGCAAAACAGAAAAATCGCGTTCAGGTGACACATCTACATCAGACCATCATCTTTCTGACTGTAGCGAGGAAAGTTGCTCTACTAAGATTTTCCAGTATCAATTTATCTAATATACAGGATTATTGATAATTAGCAAACAAATTTTTACATACAGATTTTCTACCTCTATTTTTGTTCCATGCCTTTTTACAAAATTTATTACACAAAAAAATATTTATAATTTTAAACAAAACAACAACAATATTTAATTTTTGTTGTTTTGTTGTAAAGGTTTTTAAAGGATAATCATCAAGAACCTGTATAAAATGTGCTCGTATTATTGATTTTTCAAATGAATCTCGCAAGTGCGAGGATGAGTCGTGCACTGAGGGTTTTGTAATAAGTCGATGACACTATCAAAAATCCGTCAAGTACGTCAAGTAGTTTTAAATACTAAAATAGATTAAAAGAAAACTCAAAATAATTTCTATATAAGTAGAAACAGTCCACTATCACACATATTTATAGTCTTTCATTAAAGTATATGTAACTTTGTATAGCATTTACCTATAATATGCATAAATTACTATTGTGGTACAGCAGCATCGACAGAAGACTTAGACGCGTTTTTTTTGGTTTTTTTTTAATTTATTCTCAATGCCTTGAATGATGTATGGAGGGTCTTTGATTGGCATTGAGCGTTCAAGGCGAGAATCAATTAGCTCAGGAAGCAGACAATTCAAATAAAATTTAGACTGGCCCTACCATTTTGTTCCGCCAGAACGCAGGGTCTCTGTTTACATATTCTATTTTCATTGAATGCTCCTCTCCAGTCCATATGGCAAATAAGCATATATCCATCTCCATAATGTTTAACTAACCCTGAATTTGGAAATACTAATCGTGGTTTTTGTCAACTGAAAGAGTGTTATTTTTTGCATTGTATTACCAAAATTTTATTTTTTTCGCTTTAACAGCTTCTTCTGATTGCATATTTTTTGCGGAAAATGGACATTTTATTTCTATTAATGCCGTTTGTTCCTCTTTATTTTTATAAATACCATCGGGACTCGCTCCTAAAAATTGTAGTGTTTTATGTATATATAGACCGCAGCAAGTAATTGTAATACTTTTCTGCCGAGATAACTGTGTCAATGCTGTTTGTTCATTAGCTTTGCCATATTTTATCGATGGAACATTAGATATGATTTGCGGTTTCACAATAGATCTCCCTAACGGAGCGCAGCTGATGTTTTCTTTCCGTTTACATATCTTGCCAAATATAGACGCGGTTAATCGATTTTTTCTGTTTTCTAACCATTCTTGACTGGAACTTTGATCTATCGTGTGATCTGTAGATCGTCTCTTTGTTGGTCAGAAAGTTCCAATTGCTTAAGAAATTCACTTTTTGACATCTGAAAATCTTCATTGGTCATATTTGGTCTTTGTGCTTTTTGTCCATAATCTGGATCATCCACATTTCTACGAAATCTTTTTCAAAAAGATCTTTTGTACACTCTTCTTTTCAGTTTTTGTGTCTCATATGAATATGGTTTGCCAAATATGCGTTTATAGATTGTATATATTGGCATTTTCGTGTTAAAAGAAATTGATGTAGCCACACACCTTTCTTGGTATGAATTTCTTTGTGTGTTATTAATTCCTTTGCCTCCCACATATTTAGCTATCACCGAATTGAAAGTCTCAGCAGGATTGCTATCAACGTCACAAACGAGACTTTTAGCATTTGAAGCTAAGAATGAGACAATTTGACTCATTTTTCTCCACAAAACTATGTTTGCTAAGTCAAGTGCAGTATTACGATCATTTTCGTCAGTCGCGGGGCATATAGCATCATCGCAGTTAAAGTGACTACCAAAAGAATGGTATAATGCATTCAAAATATCTGATCGAAGATTGATCATTTTCTGATTGTCAGACACTTCTTCGCGTATCCGTAGCTTAATAGCCCGCACCGTATATCTGCGATAATGCAATTTCATAATTTTGAAGTCCGTTAAAAGTTTCCCTGATTGAATAGGTATCTGTATATCCTTAATATGTGCTCTCAACTTGTTACATATATTTCTTAGAAGATGGTTTCTACACTCGATCTTCTGAACCTTACAGTTTTTATAGGAATTGCTATCTAATATTTTTTTATAAGTGCTTGAATCGCCATCTGATATTAATCTAGCATAAATTAATCCATGAGTTTCAAGTGAGCATTTAAACCCTTCAACAAGTGATGTTGACTCCATACTGGGAGAACTGCCAGAAAAGTTCTTATAGCATATGTGGTTTGCTGGTTTAGTAGTTTTTTTGTTTTCAGCTTTTACGCGCTTTTAGCGCATACAACACAGTATTTATTCTTCACGCCAAGGTACAGTATTTTACCAGTATATGCACCGATTATTGCTGCTGCTCCCGATGATGCTGAATAATTATTACGGAATGATCTTTTTAACCAACATCCGTCAGCTATCACCTCAATTATTGGTGTGCCTTCACTGTCTACATTTCCAATTTCTTTTGCATGTTCAGCCTCCTCGACGCCAGCCTTGGTCATTTCTTCCACTGCCATTATATTGAACCATTCCTACACTTTTTTGCTTGTTTGGGCGTATAAATTATTTGACATACCAGGTGTATCGGTATTACCTGATAATTCATTCAAATTGCTTAACAATACACACAGCCAATACTAATAGTACCTGCAACAACACCGTGATTTACATCACAAGTGTTAGACGGATCTTCAGTGCTTATGTCGAACTCTGAATTGCAGAGTTTACACTTAAAACGTAATTTTGATACAAAACCTTTTCGTCGCTCACCGATACATTTCAGATTTGTATATCTGCATCCAAAATATTTAGCATTATGATCAGCAATCTTCCCTAAAATTTCTAAAAATATCTGATTGATACGATTCTTCATCCGTCTAGGCAAAAAAGTACGTCATCATTGGTCATTTCTGTGTAATTTTCAATTTGTAGCTGGTGGTTTTTACTAACATTTATAAGCTCTATAAGTATATACTATAAGCTCCTGACGTTTCCTTACTGAAATTCGGCGAAAAGGAAAAGCCTCCTCAAACTTTCGTTTCCGTCTTTCCTTCTTATTCGTCATATCTTGACTGTCAGGCTTTGGTATAGATTCAATATTTGTTAAAGTCGTTCGTAAAAGTCTACTTTCTTCATGTCCTGATAAACGGTGTTTGTCAATTTCAATGTTGCTAACATCTGACAATGGTTGGCGAGTACCAGCAGCGGACCTGGGTACAAACATGCAACTCGTTTATAAACAATTCCTAAAAGTACCTAATTATAACGCAACCTTATATTTAACCAAGTGCTCACACATGCACGTTGTTAACTATTGTACTATGAAACACAAAAAAAAAAACTTACCTTTGAATTCTATTTCTGTTCATTGCTTTAACATTTGATTTCAATTTTCTTTTTCTTGTACAAGCATATTTTTTACATTTATGGTCCATATCAAAATTAAAGCTTTATGAAACAAATACAAAATGATTTATAAACCCTAAAAGAATTATATACAAAAAATAATAAAGAAGAGCAACTTTCAATTTGTTACAATGCACAACCAAGGTTAGGGAAAGAGAGAAAAAGATCAATGTTAGAGCGAGAGGAAGCGCAAAAATTTGGCACAGACAAGACGTCTGTACACTACAGCCGCTCAGCGGCTGTAGTGTACAGACGACGAGAGACGAGCTCAGCTCTTCAACAAAACAACTCATTATTTTATAGGTCGATCGAAATAATTATTAATTTCGAAATAAAGTAGCTTAAATGATTATTTTTTAATATTTGTCTAATTTAATACCTGTCTTTGAGAAAAAATAATTATAACATAAATAGTTTCAGCTATTGCTATGAACCAAATAGTTTTTTATGAGGTGAAAACAGCTAAATTTGACCAAATTGAGACCTGTTATTTAAGACACTGAAAGATATTTAGAAAAATAGAAACAGCGCATTTTGGAGATGAAGATGTTAAGGCATTAATTCGCTGAATAGATTTCGCCTTTTTATTATTGATTGCCTTATAATGGTACACGAACAAAGGTCGAAATTGCGTTGGGTGCGAGTGAGCTCTATTTACTGTTTAATTTATCTAACATAGACCACATAGATGAAGCAAAAAAAAATGTAGCTATTACTTATAATTTGCGTATTTACGTGTTATCAAAATATTTTACTCTGAAACAATAATTTGCTGTAAAAAAAAATTCAAAGTGGCGCTAATTATTCGATGCGAGTCAACTTTAAAAGACTGTAGCTTTAAGCCATGCTCATGGTTCCTAATCTATACAAATAAATAAAATGGAAGTGTCTTGCATGCATATGAAAGTATATATACGGTACTTATCTTTAATCTCCGAAATAGCTGGACCAATTTTGACGGGGCTTTCACTTGGCATATGGCTGATGTTATAAGGAGTAAATTGGCTACTTTTATTTTAGAAAAATAATTAAGGTAGTTAGATCAGAGCCAAGTTGCAGCTGTAATATGGTTATAGCACGAGTCGGCTTGAATGTGGAAGAACCATACTTTCACAGAATACCAACGTAAAATAGCAACTTATCGCTGCTGTGTTTTGTATATTAAGTGTACAGAACTGGAGACCCTTTTTACTGGATATGACGCAGTCCATCTTAATTCTCAAACGTGATAACGCATCTGCATTTCGATTTTTAATTGGGGATAAATGTAGATGTCTATTGGCCACAGTGTGGGTATGTGTATGCAGTCCACCTGATTCTAAGTGGGCTTACAAACAGGTGTACTGCATACTTGTTTGACACCTTATCTTTATATATAAAAATTACGTGTCACATTGTCTGTCCGCAATGTACTCCTAAACTACTAAACTGATTTCAATGAAATTTGCACACTCTGTGCAGTTTGGTCCAACTTGAAAGATAGGATACTTTTTATTCCGATAAGTGACTTTCATTTTTTTTATTGCGAATTTAAGGATATTTTCATCGGAAGGGTCGTCAGAAAGGGCAGAACAACGTCTGCCTGGCCAGCTAGTTTTATATAAAAAAAAAAAAACAATAGTGCACCCACTGCTGTGTTCCCGTTTAATAGGAAGGAGTTAAAAAATTGCAGTGAAATTTATAATTGCTTACTGCTCATCACTAATTGATATAATATACAACAATTATATATTAAATATTTTGATGACACAGCTATTAGTTTTCAATTTAATCATTACTTTAATACACACACATTAATACTTATTGATTTGAAGTATTTATTACTGAAGTTATGTTTTGAACTTGAATAAATTTTATAAATAGGGCAATTTCATTTATTTTAGGAGGGTCAAGGTTTAGGAAAAAAAGAACAAGGGATGTCTGTGGCTTTGCAAGTGGAGAAGACATCTAAGAGGGGTGGCCGCATTATTCATGAAAAAGATGGTAACGTCATGCCTCCACCTGGTTTTGCTATGCCGCCGCTACCTGGTCCAGGTAAACTAAAAACTAACTTTTTTTCATCCATCTGCCCTTGAACAGTTGTCTGCTGAACATATGTCTTTCCTGGAGTTGAAAGAAAATGCCACGTTTGGCAGAAAGAATGGCAATCACAGTATCAGTTTTACATACATTTGTGAAGAAGCTCTATGTCAGTATGTTTAAAGTTTATTCAAGGTCCGGAGATGGTTATTTCCTCTCTGTAAGAAGGGCAGACTTTCAATGGCGTAAATTTCATAACCTTTGAAACTTGTCATAAATTTCACAATTCATTATTAAAATTTGGGATGGAGAATTTCATGGAGGATTTGTTCATTAGTACATCTATATATTTTGTTAAATTAGTTTACCTGTATCTATATATTTATATGTGAGGGAAAACTTTGTTTTGTTTTTGTGTCTGTGTGCTAGTCTGTGGAGCATATCATGTTAAGGCAAAAATGATTATTTTATGTTTTATATATTAGTTGTTTGTTTTATATTTAAATGTGTTGATATTGAATTACAGCTTTACTAATATACAAACTTAAAAATTTAATGAATTATGGTCAAATTTCGACCCCTGACACTAGTTTTCTTAATTAGGTCATTCTCAGCGGTGCCTCTCGCCAATTATTTCATATTTTTTAGTCTTCAATTTTGCTAATAAAATATTTTACACTTGGAGGAAATTATAGATTTTTTGTTTGACAACATAAACTATTTATTTTTCTTCTTATATCTTAAAATATGGCGGAATTTGTAATAAATGCCCGTAATTAAATGTAAATTACGTGGTAAAACCATGCTGCTGATATTATGGTTGCAATACGAATGGGTCGGCTGGACCGGGGTAGGACCACACTTTCACACAGAATAACAGTTTAGCTAATAGCAGTTTAGTGCTGCTTTTTCATATGGTGAGTGTACAGAACCAGAGAACCTTTTTACTGGTAATGAGGCATTCCATCTTAGTCCTCACAGCATCCACTTACCATCAGGTGAACTGTGTCACCTTTCTCCTATAAAGTATTAGTTCCTAATTTTAACTACATATTAAAACAGTACTTTTTGCACATGCACATTTTTGTTCTTTATCTGTACCATGATCGAAGTTATACACTCGAGTCAGATACATTATTGGTAAATTTAAATATAAAATTTTACACTGTGGTTCTTGTGGAATTTTGCTCATAATCAAATTTCCGCATTACGGCAGGTGGCTCTATGGTGGAACATTAAAAACTACCTTAGTCATCAATACATTATAAAATTGTGGAAATTACATGTTTTTTCATAATTAAAAATTACTGACAGTCTGACCAAATAATTCATCCAGGCATCCCTTGTTCATTTTACAGATTCACCGAATGCATCGTCTAATTCACCACAAATGTCAAAATCGGAACCTTCAATTACGGAAATTATGAAATCGCCAAGTAAAGTTGTATTATTGAGAGTAAGTATCATTTATTACATTGAGTATTGAAAAATGGTGGTTTATGTATTAGACATAAGGCGTGATCCATTTCGAGGTTCCCTACTTTTTTAAAGAAAAAAACACAGAAAATTCAAATTTAATGGAGAATGTTTATTATCATTTGAAAGAACATTCTTTGGCATTTATTTTTTGAAGATTATGTCTATCAAATGTTGGCCGATGCTACGTCGCAGATGGTCCATCCGTTGAGTCCAATTTTCGATGACTCGTTCGAGCATTTCGACTGGTAACTGGCGAATGACACGCGTGATGTTATCCTCCAAGGCCTGAATCGAAGCGGGTTTGTCCGCATAAACTAGACTTTACATATCCCCACAGGAAAAAGTCTAACGGTGTAATATCACACGATCTTGGTGGCCAATCGACCGGCCCAAAACGTGAAATTATGTGCTCACCGAAATGTTCTCTCAATAAATCCATTTATTGATGAGATGTGTGGGAAGTGGCGCCGTCTTGCTGAAACCAAATGGCGCGGAGATCACGAGCTTCAAATTCAGGCATCAAATAGTCGGTTATCATGGTACGATAACGGTCGCCATTGACGGTTACGTTCGCACTGGCATCATTTTTAAAGAAATATGGACCGATGATTCCACCGGCCCACAAACCACACCAAACCGTTGTTTTTTCTGGATGAAGTGGTAGTTCTTGAATTTTTTCAGGTTGCTCTTCGTCCCAAATGTGGCAATTTTGTTTGATTAGATACCTATTGAGCCAGAAATGGGCCTCATCGCTAAACAAAACGTCGGATCTTCTTGGAACTTTTCAAGAGCCCACAGAGCGAAGCGAAGTCGCTTGGGAAGGTCGAGCGGCTTCAGTTGTTGCACAAGCTGTATTTTGTACGCTTTAAATTTAAGATCTCGACGTAAAATGCGCCAAATCGTTCCATACGTCAGTGCGAGTTGCTGCGAACGGCGCCGAATCGACTCTCCACGGTCTGCATGTACACTCTCAGCTACGGCCGCTATATTTTCTTCACAGCGTGCTGGACGTGGTCTATTCGGTAGAATATTATCCAATAATGACTGCTAGGTCTCAAAATGGGTGATGGTGTTGCGAATAGTACGCTCAGTAGGCCGATTATGTTGACCATATGTTGAACGAAGTGCACGAAACACATTCCTCACAGAACGTGAATTTTCGTAATAAAGTTGAACGATTTGTAAACGTTGTTCAGGCGTAAAAGTCTTTTCATTATGAAATGCCGAACAATACTAGACAAAAATAACATAACAGCATGACACAACTCCCACGTGATCTGTCAAAAAAAGGCTATTGAAAAAAGTATCTCTACTTGGATCACCCGTTATAACAAAAATAATGCACAGCAATATAAAACCTGCATCCATCAACTTCCTGAATATCTTACAGGGTCGTCACTGCCATTCTAGAACCTATATTTCACAATCATTTGTCGATTCGTCGAGCTATAATGGTTGGCTATTAGCTTACTGACTTAGTACCTTCTAGCTACAGGTGCCTCAACACCGAGTTTTGTGGCCTTACTTGGGCCTATGTTCAGCACTGAACTTATGAATGGCTGTAATGATAATGAACCACTTGATGTAGGGTCAAAATGTTATACATGTGTTACAAGTGTGATTCACGACCACTGTGTCAATAGTCTAAATTCTAATCTATTTGGTTACAGTAAATATAACATTGTTTTAGTTTTTTTTTTTGTTTTAACTTAATGATCATAAGAATATAAAAAAGTTAAGTAAAGTAATATTGTCCAGCAACAGCAATAGTCCTTCATTAATTTCTGAAAGAGTTTTTGAAGCGAAGAAAGCTATTCTATTCTATTCTATTCACAAAATAGAGTAAAAATACTCGGTATTGGCTATTCTATGTTTGTATTAGAAATACGCAAAAGAAGTTATCTAAGAGTAAGACCAAAGAGTTCAGTTATTTAAGGGTTAGTTACTCTGGTGTAACATGGTATTTGATCGAATCCACCCTTAATATCATATTTTTATTACATGGTTAAATAACCATGTAATAAAAATATAAATAAGTATAATAATATAAAATAAATTTGTAAAATAATAAAATAAGGTACAAAGCTTGCGTCTAAGGCCTAGGTATTTATTGATACATTTATTTAATGTATGGAATTATATTAATATGATGATACATAAAAGGTGAGATATTCGCTCATGTTCAGACATGGCATTACAGTGGACAGTGGACTCTGTAATCCAACATGGTCTATTATTTATTATTAAATATTTTTTTGACAATCTTCGCAAATGCATGATTGAGCAAGTTATAACTTGTACGCACCACCACTATTGTTCTCTACGTGTAGAGTATTGTTTTGAATTTTAATTTACTAAATTTGACATACATAATGAAGTATAATTTGTACTTCAGAGTACATATATATAACATATAGAATCTTATCATTGAATCCGGAATTTGTCGGATTACAAGATCCTCTTTTATAAAAAATTCCGGACTATAGGGAGTCTTCAGCAGTACTCTATAATCCAGCAAAATCGATAGTCCGACACTGCCCTGCAAAACGTTTGTCGGATTACCGGGGATTCACTGTATATGTAGTAATGTTACGGGTAGGCCTGGGTATGGAATTTTTATCCATATATTTTATTACACTGTCTTATCTCTATTATTAGTTCCGTGGAAGCTCACTTCTGCTGCCAGCGCCAAAATGACGAAAATTAAATCGCCTCATTATGTCACGGTGTATAATCAGTCCTATATGGACTCTAGAGGTCAGTGTACGACAGACAGACATTGGTGTCAGCAATTTCGTTACTTGGTTGCTACGTCAGCGGACGATGGGGTCGTCATTTCCCTACACCTATTTTATTTCTAGTATTGTTGTATAGCATTTTTATGTATAATATCATTTTTTTTCCAGAATATGGTTGGGCCAGGAGATGTTGATGATGAACTCGAACCAGAAGTAAAAGATGAATGTAACACAAAGTATGGTGATGTTATAAAAGTGTTGATTTTCGAACTACCCAATGCTCCAAATGAAGAGGCTGTACGAATATTCGTTGAATTTAAAAGAATTGAAAGTGCTATTAAGGCTGTTGTAGACCTAAATGGTAGGTTTTTTGGTGGTAGACAAGTAAAGGCCGGCTTCTATGATATGGAAAAGTTTAATGCTTTACAATTAACTGAATAGCCCACATTTAATGTAATAAATTTAAGATTCAAATTATTCTTGATTTTATTTTTCATATTTTATTTATGATACTTTTTCTGATAAAATCTTAAGAAAATGTTTTGCTTGGAGATACAATCCAAAACGATGAGCAATTGTTAAACATATATTTATACCTAGGGCTGGTAAAAAGATCTATGCTTTACCAAAATCCTTTAGACGATAAACTTAACTTCCTTTCTTAAGGTATTGGTAAAGATTCCCTGAGCAACTTATATCATAAGGCTGAAATTATTAGGTACATATAGTCGTATGATTGGGAACAACTGGGTCTTGCGTCTCAGGATGATCCTATGGATGTACAACAGCATAGTGAGGGAGATAAAAAAATACGCCTCCATTGTATGGTGTAATAAGGCCGACCAAAATACAACTGAAGACAAATTAACGAGTGCCTATTAATGCACTTCTATGCCTAACGCCCCTTGATCTTAATGTCGACAAGGAGGCGCAGGCTAGATTGTATAAGATGTTTGAGCTTGCTTTCCTAGTGTTCGTGCACTTCAACGCGCAGACTGGGTTCCAGCGGGGTGTGGGGGGTCAGTTCGTCGTACGGGGTGAGGGGACTCAGGACCACGCGACCAGCCGACCGCCACAACAACAGCTCTTCCGATTGGTCCACCGACGATTACGCGCGCTGTGGTTCTACGAGGGTGGCACTGAAAATTTCGGGAATCAAAGAAGTGACACAACATTACTATTTAAAAATGTATTTATTGCTTTTCGAAGTATTCTCCGCGAAATTTGACACATTTTTCCATACGATGGAACCAATAATTGAAGCAACCATTCCATTCGGAAGTTGGGGTCTCCAAAATGGCCGTTTTGTAGGCGTCCACAGCTTCTTCAGGTGATGAAAATCTCTGTCCACGCAATTTATTCTTTATTTTAGGGAAAGTATAGAAATCATTAGGGTAGGTCGGGGCTGTACGGCGGATGGTCTAATAATTCTATGTTTTCTTGCTCTAAAAACTCTTTTGTTCGGTGTGCGGTGTGAGAACTCGCATTGTCGTGATGGAGGATGATGCGGCGGTTGCAGTTCTCTATACGGAGTTCAGAAACGACCTGTGGCAAACAAATGCTAGCATACCATTCTGCATTAACCGTTCTTTGTCCCTCAAGAGGAATAGTCGTAACATGGCCGGTTTTGGAGACAAACGTGGCCACCATTTTTTTTTGCAACACTCCGTGAACGAACAATTTTTGTTGGCTTTAACTCATTTTCGAACACCCAAACTCGTGACTGGTTTTTTGTTTCGTGTTCTTACGCGTATATCCAGGATTCGTCACCTGATACGATGTTGTATACAGCATTTGAGGATCCTGCGTGAAATCTTTCGAGAGTTCTGACGCACCAAGTAACGTGAGCTGCTTTTTGCTCTTCACAGAGCGAATGCGGTATCCATCGGGAAAACGACTTTTTTACACCTAATTGTGTATAGTCCTCTTCTATTCAGATTTTGTACAGTTTTATGCAATAATTATTATATAGTCTTTCATTTTAAAGACACCAACACCTCTAGATTGAGAACCCTGCTTTACGAAGGAAACACCCACTTTGCATGATCTCAAATACCATTCATGCACTATTAGCAAAATTTACGGCCCGTGTTGTATTTTGGCCGGCCGGAACGGCTTTCGCTCACGTTCAGACGCTAGTCGATAGAGATGTGCCACTTTATAATCGCTCCAAGTTTACGTTTTATTTTCTTCTCTTTCAAAAACCATAACTTTCGTCTTACTTGCGTTCACTTTCATTCCCTTTTCTTTTAACGTCCTGTTCATTAATGTAACCATCATTTGCAACTCGGCTGCCGACGACGCAAGTATGACTTGATCATCGGCGTACAAAAGGCATTTGACGGTTAACTCACCCATTCTTAACCCGCATTCTTCTACTTTCAAATTTTCCAAACAACTGTCCATAAATAGGTTGAACAACCACGGGGAAACCACACAGCCCTGTCTGACACCTTTATGGATGCCAAACCAGTCCGAGTAGGCCCCGTTGATCCTGATACAAGCACTAGAGTCCCTATATAGAGACTTCAATGCCTGTATCAGACCAGCGCTCAAACCTAATGAGTTCAGTGTTTGCCATAACACATCCCTGTCCACTCTGTCATAAGCCTTCTCCGCATGAACGCACAAAAAACTTTTTGGTTTTTGGCCAAAAACTTCTCCGCGATCATGCGCATGGAAAAGACCTGATCCGTACATCCCATTCCCTTTCTAAATCCCGCTTGCACATCCCAAATTTTTCCATCAGTTTCTTTCATAACTCTTTCAATTATTACCTTAGTTTTACCACAATGCTAAGAAGGCTGATACCACGGTAGTTTTTACAGTCCTGCTGTGATCCTTTTCCCTTATATATTGGGACTATCACGGCTTTGCACCAGTCTCCCGGTACCCGCTTAAGTTCCCAACATAAATTAAACAAGGTGTACAGCAGGTCTGCCACCACTCCTTCTCCAGCCCTTAGCATTTCGAGAGATACTCTATCATAACCGGCTGCCTTACCTGCTTTCATACTTTTCATTGCTTTCATTATTTCATCTATACTTATATCTCTATCTATTTCCTCTTCTTTCGGAATTTCTATTTCATTTAATTCAAACGTCTCATCACTCATAAACACGCTTTCAAAGTATTCCTTCCATCTCCTTAAACTCAAAACTTCGTCATTCAGAATACAGCCATTCTGGTCTCGTATAGCATACATTCTAGGCTGTTTTGAATGTCCCCTGGTAGTTCTTACGAGTTTCCAGAACATTTTAATGTTTGCCTGGAAGTTATCCGATATTCTTCTATCATTCTTATCCGTTCTTTCTTGCTTTTTCCTTTCAACTACTTCTTTTACTCTCTTATTTAGGTGTCTAAAAACTGCCTTTTTCCTTTCAATATCATCATTCATACTGTTAGAATTACTAGCCTTGGTTGCTAGTAAATCTAGCCATGCTTTCTTCTTTGCTTCAACTTCCATCCGTACCTCATCATCCCACCATAACGTGTTAATTTTCCTTTCATTCGTTCTCTTACTTACACCACATACTTCGGTAGTTGCATCCACTATACCTTTCTTGACATTATACCACACAGTCTCCAAGTCTAAATCATTCATACACAATTCAGCCATACCACTTATATTTTCTCTCAATCTACATTTGAACTTCTCTTTCACACCTTCATCTTGTAACCTCTCTGTTCTTATACGCTGTAACGCAGTGGTAGACACAGATATCCGATGCCTCCAACGTCTGAAAAGACCATTAATTCGGCATAAGACCAAGTAATTATCCGTCCCTACGTTAGAGCCCCGGTAAACCCTTGTATCTACCACTGCGCTCCTCATTCTTTCATCAACAATTATGAAATCTATCATACTTCTATCATCACCTCTTTCCCATGTATACGTGTGAATCTTCTTACGGCGAGAAGGCTTTCACCATTCTCATTTATACTTTCATCATCAAATGTTCCCAATATCCTTTCATAACCAAGCCTCCTCACCCCAACCCTTCCATTAAAATCGCCTAATATCACAATATTTTCATTAACCTTGCATTTCATTAGCACCATCCTTACCAACTCCCAAAACTGCTCTCGGATATAAGTGGGCTTAGACATGTCTGGGGCGTAGACCCCTAAAACAAACAACTTCTTTAAGCCCACTTTCATTCGTATCCATAGCAGTCTCGGGCTTACACATTCATACTCTTTCACACAATGACCCATTCTTTCTGAAAGGATGATACCGACTCCTTAGCATGCCCGCTCGGTCTCGTCTACACCAGACCAGTACGCGGTATACATGCCATGTGTAGTGGCATCCTTTCCCTTCCGTTTCGTCTCATTTACACATAACACGTCTATTCCTCTATCATACATCATATCGCATACTTCTTCCATCTTATCATTCATTCCTCCACATACATTCAATGTAGCCAGACGGGTTTCCGCAATCCACTTTTCGCCCTTCCGGGGGACAGAACGTGACGGGTGGCGAACCTCGTCGCCGGTTTTCCTCCCGGAGATTCTTCGCACCCCTGCCCCATTAAAGGGGCGCCGGGAACTCGGGGCCATTTCGTTAATTTTTTGCCTCATGGTGCGAAAGTAAGGTGTGGTATTTTTTTACGCCGCTACCACACAGCGAGGAGCCGAGTCAGTTCTTTCGGCTTTGTCGCTTGTTTAGCACCACCCGGGGGACACGTGTAGGGTGGGCCTAGGATTAGGTGGTCGAAGCCTACGGACGCGAGCGACTCATCCCCCATACGTGTAACAAGAAAATACTGTACTGTAGGCATATAAACCAATCGACAAATTTGCACCGGAGGGGTGAAAGAGTACGTTTTATGGAATCTCAAATAGTCTGACCCGATTGAAACTCTACCACAAAAAGTCGTTTAAGATCTGGTCAGATCCACTAGTTTTTAAACATCCCAACACCTTGATGGCTTTTGATCGTAAATTCGCTACAGAAACCCTGATACTGAGTAAGTACAAACTGCGTATTTTGGCAAGAGCCCTGACTTGACAAATTATTTGTGAACACTATGTTACAGGGTTCCAAGTGCTTGAATGCTGATGAAGTATTTTTATCCGTTAAGGCGGATTGAGATAAACTATCGTCAAAATCTCTTCGAAACTCCAATATGAGAAGCATATTTTAAAGATATATATACAAATAAATAAAATTGAGGTGTCTGTTTGTAATGTCAAATTTACAGTTTTTACTAAATGCATATGAAAATATATACTGTAATTATAACAAAAATACAATTTTTAAAAATTTTGTCTGCCTGTCTGTTTGTTCTGGCTAATCTCCGAAACGGCTGCACCGATTGAGAACTCACTGGCAGATAGCTAACTTAAAACTAAAGTAGCCTACTTTTATTTTAGGAAAAGAAATTGTATCCTGAGCAAAAAAAATTAAAACCATAAATTATACACGGGTGAAG